ACTTCCAATTGATTCAGTCTTCAAAGTTTTGTTTTACTTTTGATGGTCATTTTTAGGAGGTCTAAGAAATTCTCCAGGAAATACAAAATTACTATATATAGTTTTTTAGCTTAATTTTTAGTATTTTTAAATAAAAAAATAATAAAAATTTTTACTTAGGGCATGTATGTTCTCCAGAGAGAGACAGAGAGTAAGAGAGAGAGAAAGTGAGAACCACCCCTCCATCCCAGGGAGGATGGCCACACCACAGTCCTGTTTCCTCCATTCTCCTCTTGGGATTTTGGGTACACACACACACACACACACACACACACGTACACAGACACGCATGCTTGGCACGTTTTTCAAGCTAATGGGTTCAGAACTGGAACCACACAGTTATAGCTATGTAGGATCCAGCTGCCTTAATCACTGTGGCCCCCAAATTTTTGTATTTTATTCACTTGTTTGCTAATCATACAGGACCCTCTTAGACATCTAGTTATTTTAAAATCTAGGGTTTTTTTTTTTTGCCATCTTATACTGATTTTTTTTTTCTTTAACTTTATTGTCCAATACAGTGAATTCCACATAGCAGTCTCGTTCAGTGTAGTGAATTCTACATGGTGGTCTAGGACAGGAATATTTATTGATTCTCTGTTTATCACCTTGTTTTTCAATATTGTTTTTATTTTTAATATAAGGTGTATCTAAATTCTTCCCCCTATGTTGGATCCCTTATTTGACTGCTGTTGTATAGCAGTGAGTGGCTCTTCAGGACATTCTTACCCCAGTCAAGGTGTCACCATTTATGCTCGTTGTCGGCGTCCGCCCCAGGGCTTGGGTCTGGCTGAATCATGATCAGAGGGCTGCTGCTGAGGAAGAGAAAGAGGATGAGAAAGAGAAAGCCCTCCATCTTGCCAGGACCAGGGAATTGGAAAGAACGAGACAAAGGGATAGAGTGGAAACGGACACAGGCAGCCTGAGCCTAGGTAGCCCAAGCAACTTGTGCCGCCCAGATGAACTGGACATCTTTATTTATAGTACAAGGAGACATTACACATGTATGTTTCATGACACTTCATGGATTAGTTGCCAGGTTACAGACAATGAGAAGCAGTTAACAAATCTATAAGGGATTAGTCATACCCAGGGCAAGGTGTATCCCTTGGTGGTAATCCCATCTAGAGTAAATCTCATCTTCCTTTCTAATGCAGAGAACTAGCTGTTAGGTGTGGGGAAGGAGCTAAAGAACTTCTCCATAAGGAGTGCACCACCACACCCAGAGAAGTCTAAAGAATCTTTCAGATGCAGGGCAGGGATTGGACTTTACTAATTGGGGTCAAGATGTTTCTTGAAGTCCATCAGATGTGTCTGTTGGACCGCCCCTAGTAATTTCCACCCTTGCTCTGTCTGCAGCCAAGGTCAGGGAAAGACAAGTTACAAGGTTCTGCCAAACCCCAAAAGAGCAGGTGGTGTTTGCTCAGCGCATGTCCCCACACCTCAGACTCTCTCTCTTAAACGTGTCCCCACAGCTCGTGATAATGGGACTATTTGGAGTCACATGTGGTCTGACCATTCGGGCTGCTATAACAAAATACCGTAAATGGGGTGGCTTACAAATAACAGACGTTTATTTATCAGAGTTACGGAGGTTTGGACATCTAAGATCACAGCACCTGCACTTTTGGTATCTGTTGACAGCCACTTCCCCAAAGCTGTCTTATTGTTCTACCCTCACACAGTGGAAGAGGTGAGGGTTCTGTCTTCAACCTTTTTATAAGAGCACTAATCCCAGAGGCCCTACCTCTTAATACCATCACACAAATTTTGGAGGACATAAGAACTCATTTCGTTGCAGCTCCTGACCGTTGGATCCATCTCTAGCGTCAAGTGATGGGGCATGCCTTCTCCCTCCCTTCCCCTGCACCTTCTTCACATATGTCTGAGGGGACTTTCCTTCATAGACTTAATGTTTATTTTCCCCAGAAGATTGAATTCCTTGAGAACAGAGTGTAAGCACATGTAAGTGCTTGTTGAGTAAAGGAATGAAGGCCAGGATCAGTGACATTGGTAAACTTGTAGCTAGCTCTAGAAGTACCATCACTTATTGGTTCAGAGCATGGGCTTTGATGCCAGTGCCACCTGAACTCCAATCTTGGCCCCGTTATTTGGTAGCTGTGTATCTTAGGCAACTGTGTGCCACATTTATGTATCTCAGTTTTGTCTTTTAAAACATGGGTGATAATTACTGTATATAACTCATGCAGTTGTTATAAAGATGAAATGAAGTTATGTATGAGGGTGTCTTTGAAAAGTCCATGGAAAATTTATGCATGGATTTTAAATATTCTTGTGCTAAAATGGACTTGTACTTTAACTGCATTTTTTTCATCAAAGAAATTGAGAGGCAGAGATAGAGGGAGGGGAAGCCAGCATCCTACCCCAAATGGGGTGTGGTCACACTACAGATCCCCTCTCCTCCACTTCTTCAACCTGTCAGGATCCTGGGCACACATGCGTATGCATCTGCCATATTTCCCAAGCTATCAGGGCCAGAACTTGAACTGTGGTCAGCCATAGGGAATCTGACTCCGTTAACAACTAGGCTACAGGCCAGCCCTTCAATTGCATTTTTCCATGAACTTTTTTTTAAAGACTTATTTATTATTTATTTTTAATTTTGACCAGAGACAGAGAGAGAGAAAGAGAGAGAGAGGGAAAGCAAGAAAACAAGCCGCCAGGTCCAGGACTCAAACCGTAGTCTACCATGTAGGAGTCCAGCTCCTTAACCACCACGCCATCTACCCCCCCCCATGAATTTTTTAAGTCTTTTCATATGTAAAGTGCTTAGGACAGTGCTCATATAAGTGATAAACATGTAAGTGCTTGCTCCTATTGTTGTACTCCTGATTTTTAAAAAGTGGTTCTGATGTGGGGAACCAGCAGTTAGCGTAATGGCTATGTTGCTGGACTCCCACGTAGTCTACCACGGTTTGCGTCCCAGACCCGGTGGCTTAAAACTCACGCTGGGCGCATGTGCGTGCGTGCCCAAGATCCCGAGAGGAGAATGGAGGAGAAGGGATTGCGGCGTGACCATCCCCCCTGGGGTGTGATTTCTCGCTTTCTGTCTCTCTGTCTCTTCTCTGTCTTTCTGGTGAGCGCACGTGCCCTATAGCGAAAACCTCTCCAAAAAAAAAAATAAATAAATAAAAATGGTTCTGATGTGGAGTAGTGAGTGTCCTTAGGAAGCATATTCTGCAGTTCAGTTTTTCTCCTGTCAGAATGAAGGTGTGCGTGGTCTCCTGGTGCTCAGGAGCCTCAGGGTGAGGGAAGGGGTGGAGAAGGTCCTCAGTAGATCGTGGAGCTGAGAACATCTGTATCTGTATCAGTCATCAGGCGGTGCAGACTCACTTGAACTAAACAGCCTTCCCTGTCTGTCAGAATCTTAAAATTGTATCAATTCGGAGTAGCAACGCTTATTTCTGTTGGTTCTTATTCATCTTAATTCAAAGGATAAGAAATGAATTATTAACTAACAAAGGTTATGTGGTAGGTAAAATATTTAACAACAGTGATCCATGGGAGAGATAATAAAAGGGGTCTCAGTGATAAACAGTGGGGAAGATGGTTGAAGATTGGAGTCTGCTCTGGCATATATTGTTAACTGATTTTTTTTTTGCATTTTAAAAAGTGGACTACTTGATAATTAATATGATCAATTGTTGGTCTACCTATTTCCCTTAGATTTATTTATGTTTTAGTTTTCTCCAATATTTTATTATGAGAATTTTCTATGTACAGCAGAATTAAACATTTTTTTCATGGGGGCTGGCAGGTAGCATGATGGTTACGGCACTGGATTCCCACTTGGCCATCTGTAATTTAAGTCCTGGAACTGGCAGCTCGCTTTCTCAGTTTTTTTTTTTTTTTTTAACTCTTTCTGGTTAAGTGAAATAATAATAATAATTTAAATAGAATAATTCCATAAAAACTTTTTATGGGGCCTGGCAGGTGGCATGGTGGTTGGAACCCTGGACTGCCACTTGGTTGACTGTAGTTTGAGTCCTGGACCTGGTGCCTTGCTTTCACACTCTCTCTGGTCAAACTGAATACTAATAAATTTAAAAAAAAGCAAAAAATTCTCTAAAACAACCTTTTATAAAGAAAATCTATATATTTAATACATTCTAACATTAATGTTTTATAATACTTGCTTGGTCACAAAACTATACATGTAACTATCCCTCTATCCAGCCACTAGTACATTTTATGTTTTTATGTTTGGGTAGATTTATTTTGTTATTTGATCACCTGTATTGGAGAAATCAATGTTTATATTCTCAGCTCCCAGAAATGATAGAGGTGTGTGTGTGCACACATGCACAAAGCAATACTTTTATAGAGTTGTCGATTAAGATTTACACTTACTGGAAGAATTCTTTAAGAGTCAAGGTAGGTTTAGGGGAAGAAAGGTATAGATAGAAAACTAAGAACTTGGAAAAAGCAATCCAATAAAATAAACAACTCATCAAAATATTCTTTTGATGTATTTTGTTTCAGTTCGCTGTGAGGCTATGCAGGCTCAGCTCTCATTGTTTCCAGTAAGTGGCAACATTTATGGATCAGAAAAAGAACAGTTAAAAGTTGTAAGGAACATCCTTGCAGGTTGAAGGTTAGCAGTTAGGGATCTACAGATGCCTCAGATGTCCCTTTGTGTCGACTGGACTTCCTCTTCCAGTTACAGCACCAGATTGCTCCGCTTTCTTTTTCACCCCAGTGTAGAACCCACAGTGCTGTTCTTTTGGAGTTCCGCCAGCAGCTCCAAGGAGCATGAATAGGTCACAGGGCAAAAATCTTGATTATGATTCAAAAAGAAGGCGTAGTTACTTTGTTCTTCACGAACTAAGGAAACGCTGGTTAGAAAGACATATGTCTTTCCGAGCAGTTTTTGGTTGCTGCTGTTTTCTGACAATGCATGTTTGCTAGAAATGCAGAGGGACCAAGCTGCTAATGAAAATGTTTACCCCTTTCACTTTCAGTTCACTTTAACTGAGATGGACATGGAATAATCTCCACTGCGGCAAAGAATGGCATCCAGTCCTGAGCTTCCCGCTGAAGATGAACAGGGTTCCTTGGGTATTGATGATCTCCACATTTCACTGCAAGGTAATTAAAATTAGGTGGGGTCATACTCATAGAGACTGTGGAAAACTTGATCACAGCTGTGCTCAAATCATTGCTTTTTGTCTAATGGTGTTTTAAAAAATATCTCTATTTTTCCAACTGTAGGAACCTTCTGTATGCTTAAATGTCTTTATTGCTGTCTTGGGTCTTTAGGGATACCTGGAATTTGGTATCTCTGGTTTCTTCCTCTGAGGATATTTATTTTATTTGAGTAAAAACTCAAGAGGATGTTTGACATTTTTTGCACTTATTTTGTATCTTTTTGCATAGCCTCTTGACATTGCACTTATTTTGTATCTTTTTGCATAGCCTCTTTTAATTGTACTCCATTATTTTGCCCTAATAGAGTAGAATAGTAGCAATATTAGGGGAAATGGCCTTTAGTCACATGAATCACGTGTGCACCTACATAAATGCTATCTGGTTTTTTAGTGCTTTTTGTGGAGATCGGCGATGTTTGTGTTGTATGTATTTTGAAAATTCGTTAGCCACTAGACTTCCCACTTGTGTTCATAAAGCAAATCTTGGAGTTGAATTAGCTAGGATAAAAGAAGTAAGACTATGGCAGATCTTAGAAAATATTTATGAAACTATATTAAAGTAATGTTAAGATTATAGATAGAATTATATATGTAACATTTTTAGGATGTTACTTAAAAGCCATTGATTTTTTAAAAGTTTGTTTTATTTATGATAGTCTGTCCATTTCTGTGAGAGAGAGACACAGAGAGAAAAGCATCCTTGATAGAGGCTCATCACGCCACGATCCTGTTTCCCAGCCTTCTACCTTCTCAGCATCTTGTGTGTGTGGATGCCGGCCGTGTTTCAGGTGGACCAGGACAGAGATCTTAAGCCAGGGTTGGCCACATGGCTTCCAACTCTGCAGTTCAGTACACTGCTGACTGAGCCACTGAAGCAAGGCCAAAGCCATAGGTTTTTTAAAAAAATCATTATTTATGATAAAGGTTCCAAAAAGGTTGTTTTCCTTTTGATTAAAAAAATGTATTTTGAGGGAACCAGCAGTTAGCGTAATGGCTATGTCGCTGGACTCCCACATAGTCGACCACGGTTCGCGTCCCGGACCCGGTGGTTTAAAAAACTCATGCCAAGCGCGTGTGTGTGCGTGCCCAAGATCCCGAGAGGAGAATGGAGGAGAAGGGATTCCGGCATGACCATCCCCCCTGGGGGGTGAGATTTCTTGCTTTCTGTCTCTATGTCTCTGTCTGTCTGGCGACCGCACGCACCCTATAGTGAAAATCTCTCCAAAAAAAAAAAAAAGATGTATTTTGAATGATTAGCTTCTTGACTTTGGGTGAGATAGAAATCAATCATTACTGGAAAACCTACATGTGTCTTTTAAAAAGAAACATTATGTAATTTTTATAAAGTAAGAAACATTTAAATTCTTTTTTAAAAGAAATTGTTTTGTTTAACTTTATTCGTGTATTTTTAAAATTTGACCAGAAAAGTAGAGAGAGAGAGAAATTGAGAAAGTCAGGTGCCATGTCCGAGACTCAAACTGCGGTTGGGAACGTGGGAGTCCAGCACCCTTAACCACCATGCCACCTGCTGGCCCCAGAAACATTTATATTCTTGAGAGGTAAATTCTTACTTGAAGTAAGAATTTTAAAAATTCAGTAGGTAGGACCAGGAGTTGGTGTAATGGCTATGTCGCTGGACTCCCATTGTTGACCGCGGTTCGAGTGCCAAACCCAGTGGCTTAGATTCACGCCGGGTGCGTGTGCGTGCATGCCCAGGATCTCGAGAGGAGAGTGGAGAAGAAGGGATTGTGGCGTGACCATCCCCCGTGGGGGGTGATTTGGATATGCATACAAAGTTGAACATTGGATTTTTTTTTTTTTTAAAGAATTATAAATTTAATTAAATTTATTTATTTATTTATTTATTTGGAGAGAGAGCTTTTTGCCTTAAGATCATGTGCACTGGCTGAAGAGAGATACAGAGAATGAGAGGGGAAGTGAGAAATCACCCCCTGGTGGGGATTGCTACATTGCAATGCCTTCTTTATTCTCCTGGGAACTTGGGCATACATGTGCACACACCTGGCATGATTTTCAAGCCACCAGGTATGGGACTGGAGCCGTGGTTGGCCATGTGGGAATCCAGCGACGTAACTGCTGCCATGCCATCTGCTGGCCCTACATTACTATTTTTTAAAAATTTGCTATAGGGGGGACCAGCAACATAATGACTATGTTGCTGGACTCCCATGTAGTCGATTGCGGTTCAAATCCTGGTCCTGGTGGCTTAGACTCATGCTGGGCACGTGTGTGTGCATGCCCAAAATCCTGAGAGGAGAAGGAAGGAAAAGGGATTGCGGTGTGGCCATACCCCAGGGGGACGATTTCTCGCTTTCTGTCTCTGTGTCTCTCTTTGTCTTTCTGGTGAGCGCACGTGCCCTATAGCAAAAAAACCTCTGGAAAAAAAAATTGCTATAGGTCACATGGACTCACCAGAGAGAGAGAAGAAAAATGAGAAAGCGAGCAACCAGTTATGGACCTTGAATCGTGTTTGGCCATGTGGGAGTCAAGTACCTTAACCACCATGCCACCTGCTGACCCCTACGGCCATGTGGGAGTCAAGTACCTTAACCACCGTGCCACCTGCTGACCCCTAGAGTCAAATTTTCATTTAACTGAAAAAGAAATCAGTGTTTGTGTTTTTCTTTTCTTTTTTCTTTTTTTCTTCTTTTTTTTGGGAGGGGGTTTTTGCTATAGGGCACGTGCGCTTGCCAGAAAGACAGAGAGAGAGAGAGAGACAGAAAGCGAGAAATCACCCCCTGGGGGGATGGCCATCCACAATCCCTTCTCCTCCATTGTCCTCCTGGGATTTTGTCCGCGACTCGAACCGTTGTCGACTACGTGGAATTTCAGCGACACAGCCATTATGCTAACTGCTGGTCCCTGTGCTCTTGTTTTTCTGTACAGTTTTGGCTGCAATAAATCAGTGAATTTCATATCTAATATTGGCTCTGCCACTTAGCAGTTCTTTAAACTTGGGTAAGAGATGTTATCTTTTTATTTTGAGAGAGATTTTGGCCATAGGGCATGTGTGCTCACCAGAGAGACAGAGCGAGACAGAATGCAAGAAATCAACCCCTGGGGGAATGGCCACACTGCGATCCTTTCTTCTCCATTCTCCTCTGGGGCTTTTGGGCATGTACACAAATATGCCCGGTGTGAATTTTAAGCCACTGGGCCCAGAACTCAAACCCTGGTTGACTATGTGGGAGTTCAGTGACATAACTGTTATGCCATCTTGATGGCAAGATGTTACCTTTTTTTTTTTTCCCCTCAACATTATTTATTTATTTATATATTTTTGTGGGGAGGTTTTTGCTCCAGGGCGCTGTGCTCGCCAGACAGAGAGAAACAGAGAGACAGAAAGCGAGAAATCACCCCCAGGGGGGATGGTCACGCCGCAATCCCTTCTCCATTCTCCTCTCGGGATCCCGGGCACGCACGCACATGCACCCGGTGTGAGTTTCAAGCCACTGCGTCTGGGACGCGAACCGCGGTCGACTACTTGGGAGTCAAGCGACATAGCCATTAAGCTAAGTGCTGGTCCCTCAACATTATTTTTGAAGAGACCATCCTTTCTATAGTGAATGGTCTTAGTTGCGAGGCTGAAAACGATTTGAATATAAGGGTTTTTTCTGGGCTTTTAGTTTCGTTGCCTATATGTACATCTGGCTTTATGTAAGAATCACTCTGTTTTCACTATTGTAGCCTTGTAGTATGATTTCAAATCAGGAATTGTGAGACCTTCTACTTTGTTCTTTTTCTTATAAAATAGTTTTAGCTGTTTAGGATCTTTAATTATTTGAATTCTATGTGAATTTTAGGTTGTATATTTCTAATTGGTTATCAGGAAATCATAATGCATTTTTGTGTAGAAAAAAACCAAAAAAATATGTTCTAATGTTCCTGTCCTAATATTTGCACAAAAAAACATTGTTGGAATGTCAATACCAACTTTAATGCAACTATAGATTATTTTGGAAAGTACTGACATTTTAACCATACTCTTTTTTTTTCTTTTAATTTTGCTTAAGATGTATGCACCCATTGCAGAGAAAGAGATAGGAAAACTGAGAAATCACCTACCAGAGTGTTACCTTTTTTAAGTCTCAGTTTCCTCATTTGTGTAATGTGGATGATAATACCCGCATTGCAACTGTGCTGAAGATGAGCCACGATGCATGCAAAGAGCTTAGCACAGTGCTTCTCCCAACACAGGGACTCAGTAAATTCACCGTCATTTCTTTTTATGTATCTGTAGTCTAAATCTTTGCCTCAAAGTCTTTCTCATCTAGAAGTACCCAAGTAGAGTGGAAACCTCATGGAGTATAGGAAAAAGTGTTAACCATAAGTCTTGTTTTTACTCTCTTTTTTCTTTAAAGATTTGTTTATCTCTTCCATGAGTGAGAGAGACAAAGAGGAAGAGAGGAGAGCACTGCAATAGGGTCTAGACATCATAATCCAGCCCCAAGCCTCGAGCAGTCCTGGATCACAGGATGTGTGTGCCTGGTGTACTAAGGGTGGTCTCCGGACATGAATTTGAACTCTCCCATGCACATCAGCCTTGTAGAACATTGCATTTTACCATTGCACCACTGTCTAGCCACCTGTGTTTTCTTTTTTTAATTTTTAAAAAGAATTATTTAATTAATTAATTTATTATTTATTTTTAATTTGACCAGAGAGGGACAAAGTGAGAGAGAGATTGAGAAAGCAAGCCACCTGGTCTGGGACTCAAACCAGTGCCCTTAACCACCACGCCACCTGCTGGTCCTTGTTTTTTTTTTTTTTTTTTTTTTTTTTAACAATTTTTCTCC